TTCCCTTGTTTTTGTCTGGGATATTCTCCCCAGAAGTTATTTTAAAAATAACTTCTATGACAAAAAACATTTTTTACCCAAGTGACGAGATCGTAAGCTCAATAGAAGAGGAACCAAAGAATTAAATAAAACTAAAATTCTCTTGGAAAGTCTTCTAAATCTTACAACCGCACTTATAAACATTTACATCTTTCTCCACTTGTTATGCTTTCGTTCAGCCTGAACGAAGTAGCATAACCATGTAAGTTGGTTTTGTCTGTTACAACAAAAACCCCTTCGTCGACCGTGCCTTGTCTATTAATAGAACAGTGTGGCTTGTTTGTTCGGGATACCGTAGTATTTTGTTGTTGCAAAATGGTCTGGCTTTATCCCTTTATTGTTGTTTTTATAAAAACAACGTTTGTTTATTAGTGGAGAACGATGGTAATGTTTACCAGGGGGTAAGGCAGGGAATATCTACATTTTTAACGGTATTTCAAAAACATTTTTACTAGGCCCTTTGAGAAAAATTTGGGAAATCTACGTTGCTAGGTCCTTTAGAAATATTTTCGTCGATGAGGATCCCAGAAAAATATTTTTTTTTAAATACGAATCCACGAAGATTCTTGAAAAATATTTTTTTTAAATACACATCAATGGAAGTCCTTGAAAAATATTCTTTACAATACTACGTTCATAGTTCCTTTATAAAAATCCACGTTGATAGTACCTTCATAAAAATATACTTTAAAATTACATGTTGAAAAAAATCAACGTTACTAGGCCCTTTCGGAAAATATTATTTAAAGAGTCCACGTTGCTAGGTCCTTTAGACACATTTCTTTAATATATTTTCATCGATGAGAATCCTAATCAAATTTTTTTTTTAAAAAATACGCATCAATGTAGGTCCTTGAAAAATATTTTTTTACCACGTTGATAGTACCTTTATACAAAATATTCTTTAAAAAAAATATTTAAAAAAATATCCACATTGCTTGGCCTTTTGGAAAAATATTAAAAAAAAATTAAATTATAAAATAATAAAAAATAAAATATATTATTTTCAAATAGCTACATTTATAACGGTATTTCAAAAACTAGGCCCTTTGGGAAAAATATTCTCTAACGAGTCCACGTTGCTAGGTCCTTTAGAAATATTTTTTTTTAAATATTTTCGTCGATGAGGATCCTAGAAAAATTTTTTTTTTTCAATACGAATCGACGAAGATCATTGATAAATATTTTTTTTGTTTTAAATACGCACCAATGGGAGTCCTTGAAAAATATTTTTTACAAAGTTATAAAGTTATATCAACGTGGGTAACTTTATAAAAATATTCATGTTGAAAAAAATCAACGTTTCTAGGCCCTTTCGGAAAATATTATTTAAAGAGTTCACGTTGCTAGGTCCTTTAGACACATTTCTTTAATATATTTTCATCACTGAGAATCCTAGAAAAATATTTTCTTTTTAAAAATACGAATCAACGAAGATCCTTGAAAAAATATTCATTACAAATCCACGTTGATAGGACCTTTATAAAAATATTCTTTAAAAATACATGTTGAAAAAAATCAACGTTACTAGGCCCTTTCGGAAAATATTCTTAAAAGAGTTCACGTTGCTAAGTCGTTTAGAAACATTTCTTTAAAGTATTTTCATCGATGAGAATCGTAAAAAAATTTTTTCTTTTCAAAAATACGAATCAACGAAGATCCTTGAATTTTTTTTTTTTTAAATACGCATCAATGGAGGTCCTTGAAAAATATTTTTTACCACGTTGATAGTACCTTTATACAAAATATTCTTTAAAAAAAAATTTTTAAAAAAATATCCACATTGCTTGGCCTTTTGGAAAAATATTTAAAAAGAAATTAAAATCGACGAGAAAAATATTCTTTGAAAAATCCAAGAAGGTCCTTAAAAATATTCTTTAAAAAAACCACATTGCTCGTTCTTTGGAAAGATAATTTTTAAAAAACTGAGTTTGAATAGTCCTCTAAAAAATATATTATTTTCAAATAGCTACATTAATAACGGTATTTTAAAAAAAATTTTTACTAGGCCCTTTGGGAAAAGAAATATTTCTTTAAAATATTTTCGTCATTGACGATCCTGGAAAAATATTTTTTTAAAAAATGCGCATCAATGGAGATCCTTGAAAAATATTCTTTATAAATCCACGTTGATAGATTCTTTATAAAACTATTTTTTAAAAATACTTCTTTTAGAAATCAACATTGGTCTTGGAAAAATATTTTTTAAAAAAAATTCAAAATCGATTAGTCCTTTGCGAAAATATTATTTGAAAAGTCCGCGTCGATGAAGGTCCTTAAAAAATATTCTCTAAAAACCCACATTGCTAGTTCTTTGGAAAAATATTTTTAAAAAAAAAAACTAAGTTGGATTAGTCCTCTAAAAACATATTATTTTTAAATAGCTACATTTATAACGGCATTTCAAAGTCATTTTTAATAGGCCCTTTGGGAAAAATATTCATATTTTCTTTAAAATATTTTCGTCGATGAGGATCCCAAAAAAAAAAAATATTTTTTTTTTTTCAAAAAAAATACGAATCGAGGAAGATCCTTGAAAAATATTTTTTTTTAAAAAACACGCTTCAATGTAGATTCTTGAAAAGTATTCCTTTCAAATCCACGTTGATAGTACCTTTACAAAAATATTCTTTAAAAATGCATGTTGCAAAAAATCAAAGTTACTAGGCCCTTTTGGAAAATATTCTTTAAGGAGTTCACGTTGCTAGGTCCTTTAGACACATTTCTTTAATATATTTTCATCGATGAGAATCCTAGAAAAATATTTTCTTTTTAAAAATACGAATCAACGAAGATCCTTGAAAAATTTTTTTAAATACGCATCAATGGAGGTCCTTGAAAAATATTCTTTACAAATATACGTTCATAGTTCCTTTATAAAAATCAATGGAGATCCTTGAAAAATTTTCTTTGCAAATCCACGTTGATACTTCCTTTATAAAAATATTTTTTAAAAATACATGTTGATGGGACCTTTATAAAAATATTCTTTAAAAAATCAACATTGGTCTGGGAAAAAATATTTAAAAAAAAATCAAAATCGATTAGTCCTTGGGGAAAATATTCATTGGAATATGCGCGTCGATGAAGGTCCTTAAAAAATATTATTTAAGTAGTCACATTGTTAGTTCTTTGGAAAGATATTTAAAAAAAAAAAACAAAGTTTGAATAGCCTTCTAAAAAATATATTATTTTCAAATAGCTACATTTATAACGGCATTTCAAAAACATTTTTACTAGGCTCTATGGGAAAAATATTCTTTAAAGAGTCCACGTTGCTAGGTCCTTTAGAAACGTTTCTTTAAAATATTTTCATCGATGAGCATCCTAGAAAAATATTTTATTTAAAAAATATGCACCAATGGAGGTCCTTGAAAAATATTTTTTACAAATCCACGTTGATAGTATATTTATAAAAATAATCTTTAAAAAATATCCACATTCCTTGATAATATTTAAAAAAACAAAATCGATTAGTCCTTTAGAAAAGTATTTTTTAAAAAATCCAAGAAGGTCCTTAAAAATATTCTTTAAAAAAACACATTGTTGTTCTTTAGAAAAATATTTTTTAAAAAACTGAGTTTGAATAGTCCTCTAAAAAATATATTATTTTGAAATAGCTACATTTATAACGGCATTTTAAAAACATTTTTACTAGGCTCTTTGGGAAAAATATTATTTAAAGAGTGCACGTTGCTAAGTCCTTTAGAAATATTTCTTTAAAATATTTTCGACGATGAGGATCCTAGAAAAATATATTTTGTTTAAATACGAATCGACGAAGATCCCTGGAAAATATATTTTTTTTAAAAATATGCATCCATGGATATCCATGAAAAATATTTTTTAAAATGCATGTTGATAGGACATTTATAAAAATATTCTTTGAGAAATCAACATTGGTCTTATAAAAATATTTAAAAAAAAATCAAAATCGATTAGTCTTTTAGAAAAATATTTATTGAAAAAGCCAGGAAGGTCCTTAAAAATATTCTTTAATAAACCAAATTGCTTGGTCTATGGAAATATATTTTTTAAAAAACAGAGTTTGAATAGTCCTCTAAAAATATATTATTTTTAAATAGCTAAATTTGTAACGGTATTTCAAAAACATTTTTACTAGGCCTTTTGGGAAAAATAGTCTTTAAAAAGTCCACGTTGCTAAGTCCTTTAGAAATATTTCTTTAAAATATTTTCGTCGATGAGGATCCTGGAATTTTTTTTCAAATACGAATCGACAAATATCTTTGAAAAATATTTTTTAAAAAATACGCATCGATTGAGGTCCTTGAAAAATATTCTTTACAAATCCACGTTGATAGTATCTTTATAAAAATATATTTTTTTTAATTAAAAATACATGTGGATAGGACCTTTATAAAAATATTCTTTAAGAAATCAACATTGGTCTTGGAAAAATTTTTTTTTTTAAATCAAAATCGATTTGTTCTATGAGAAAATATTCTTTGAAAAATCCGCGTCGATGAAGGTCCTTAAAAAATATTCTATAAAAACCCATATTGTAAGTTCTTTGGAAAAATATTTTTTTAAAAAACTGAGTGTGAATAGTCCTCTAAAAATATATTATTTTTAAATAGCTACATTTATAACGGCATTTCAAAACATTTTTATGAAACCAGCATTGGAGAATGGCTTTTTAAGAAAATGTTTTTAAAAAAGTCCTTTGGCTGCTTTAAAAAAAATATTAAAAGTCCTCGTTGATTGCTGTTGAAAAAATGTCCTTTTAAAAATCCACATTGTTTTATCCTTAAATACATTTTTTTTTTTTAAATCAATTTGCTCCTTTAGAAAATAAAACTGAAAAATATGTATATTTTTAAATATTGTCTTAAAAAATTATTTAAATTCAGGGTTATGATCCTTTGGAAAAATATATTTTTTAGTTTTTTTTTTTTTCTGCCTATATTTTTACAATTTTCCTTTGGAAATTGTGTCCTTACCTCATGATTAGTTGGTATCCTTTGAGAATGGGTGAGAAATATTATTAGCAATGTAACACTAATTCCCAATATAAGTAAAGAGAACATGGTATACGAATCCAAGTCCAATGTGAACAAGAGGAGAGGAAATATTAAACAGCTGCCACAGGATATGGCTTTGCACCAACCAGCCAAATGACGTTCAGGATTGACCACAGGTATTAGCAAGGCCAAGAGAATATAAAAAGGACTCTATGGAGGATAATTGCAAAATAGAAATATTTTTTTTTAAGAAAATAGTATTTACCAGTAAAATTTTAGATAGGATGGAATGAGAACCCAACGCCTTCATGGGATTGATGCAATTCCAAAACTGCTGCCATGGCTGGACACTCAAATCGATTTCATTATATAGCAAATCCGGATAGGAATCACTTTCAATGGACTCTATACTCGTGGATAAAATATCAACCTCTTCCACAATATTTGGCTTTCGAAAATACCTCCTCAGAGAGAACACTCTGCAGATAATATAGAGCATATAAATCACAATACTTATGTAGGCATGTATGTGTATCGTCGGTTCCGCTTTCAGATATTCTTCTTGATTTTCATTCAACATTTCATTAAAGACTGCGGCATATAAATACACCCAGCCTAGGGTTAGGAACAACATATCCCTTAGGAATATCCTTCCCTTAAAACGAAATCCTCCACGATAGGAGAGCAGACCCAAACCCATGACCCAACAGGTGAAAATTTTACCAAATGTCATGGCATGCAGCAAGGAATCGGAGCGATTATATTCAAAGCAGGCGAAGATCATGCAAAGGGCACAGGGTAGGGTGAAGAGTATGCCCAGCACCAGACAGCCAAAATCATAGCTGGGGATATTTAAATACTTTGCCAAGGCAATGGAGTTGGGAAGGAGGCTGTAAATTGAAACGGATATTAATTTTGGAATATTTTGGAACTCAAAACACTTACAAATACCTCGCATTCACATACAGACTTATGGCATAGAGCAGCAAAATGAACACTGCCAAGGTCATGGCTGGCAGCCCCCACAACAACGAGGCATCCCAGTGCAGGATACACTCAAAGATATATAAATAATTTATTAGGCTAACCACACCGCTGCAGCTGGGGGTGGTCTTCACAAACTGACAGGCATCTGTGATATTTTCATTATAATCCTGCGGCCGATAGCAATTTTCTTCCTGGAACCAAAAAATAGAAATTTTTAGATCCTTGAACATGATTCGAAGTTGTCTTACCTCTTCAATGTTGCCCACGAAATCGTAATGCCGTTTCCTGCGGGTCCAGTTTCTAAAAATTAATTCAATAGATCTATTGGTCTGAAGGGAAAAATTTTCGAACATTTGTCTCGTGTCAAAAAATATATTTTTATATTTTTCAAAATATTCGAAAAATAAATTTAAATAATGTCAGTCCATGGTACAATTATTCCACATGGTCTCAATAAAAAAAAGTAAAAACGCTGTAAGTTCGCCCGGGCCGAACTTTGAATACCCTCCACCATTTGGAACGAATTTGACAATTTTCAAAAAAAAAAAAAAGAATCCGTTAAAAATTCTGTTTAAATCTTAAAAATAGCAAATGTATCCGTCATATTAGGGCCTAAACGACGAGGTGGTCCTGCATAGGCAACTTCTGCCATAAGCAATTACAATATTCAAATGCGAAACTTAAACAAAAATCGGTGAATAATGTACCTAAAATCATCAATATCGGGAGGTGCTATTATATGGGGGCTATACCAAAACGTGGACCTGCAGAGACAATTTTCTGCCTTATGCTGAAGTATCCATTAAGAACTTCAAATACCAAAATTCCGAGCAATAATGTCGCTAGAATCATCAAAATATCGAATATCGGGAGATACCGTTATATGGGGCTTATATGAAGACGGGGATCTGCACTAACAATTTTCTGTCATAGGCCGTAGAATCTATTTCGAACTTCAATTAACAAATTTGAAACAATTCCGATTAATAATGTCGCTAAAATCATCAAAATACTGAATATCGGGAGGTACCGTTATATGAGGGCTATACGAAGACGTGGACCTGCACAATTTTCTGACTTAGGCTGCAGTATCCATTACGAACTTCAAATACCAAATTTGAAATAATGTAGCTAAAATAATCAAAATACCGAATATCGGAGGTACCGTTGCAAAGCTGCGGTAACTTATTCGAAATCCACGATTATGGCTCGAACAGTCCTTGAAAATATATTTTTTAAAAAATGTATAATCTTTGGCTCTGAAAGTCTTCGGAAAATTTAAAAACAAGTCTTAAAAAAATTGGGACATTTTTTTTTTTTTTTTTTTTTTTTTGAAAAATGAAAAAAAAATTTCAAAATCTATGCTGGTCATGTCCTATTAAAAATTATGTTTACGTTGGTCTTATGAAACGCTTCCTTAAAAAAAATTCTCGGTCCTACATGGTCCATAGCAAATATTTTCCAGAAACGCACAATAATGAAATCGAAAAAGCTATGAATTGAATTAATGTCGTATTCCAATGTTGGTGTTTTCTTTATGTTGCCTTTGTTTACTTACCCCCTTCCCTTACTCCTGTCGTCACCTTTACACGTGTATTTCCATATAAACAATGTGGTTTCCGTGACGTCTTCCCTTTGTCGAGGAGTAAAAGTTAAAAATAAAACCCGCATAGATACAAAATGGATACGTTTGAATCGGCTCTGGCAACTATCAAAATAACTAATTGCCATTTCATGGGAAGAAAGAAGTGTTGAAACGACTGGCAGGCATTGTACGATTGTTACCAGGAAATTTCAATAGAATACATGTGTCGTGGAAAGCAATAAAAGAGCGGGGGGGGGGGGTTGTCGGAAAAATAAAATTAAAATTAAAACAAATTTTCAGGAAATATGAACACAAAAGACAATTGAAGAAAGGAACCGCAAATAATAACTTATTTTATGTCTCTAATAGCCCTCAAGAAAAAATTATTTAAAAAAATCGGGTTTAAAAATTCAAAAATTATTTAAAAAATCATGGTTTATTGTTGGGAAGGTCCTTGAGAAAAATTATTTAAAAAATCCACGTTTATAGCTGGGAAGGTCCTTGAGAAAAATTCTTTAAAAAATCCACGTTTATTCAACAGTTGGTCCCTGAGAAAAATTCTTTAAAAAATCCACGTTTATTCAACAGTTGGTCCTTGAGAAAAATCCAGGTTTATTCAACAGTTGGTCCTTGAGAAAAATTCTTTAAAAAATCCACGTTTATTCAACAGTTGGTCCCTGAGAAAAATTCTTTAAAAAATCCACGTTTTTTCAACTGTTGGTCCTTGAGAAAAATTATTTCAAGAATCCACGTTTATTTAACTGTTGGTCCTTGAGAAAAATTCTTTTAAAAATCCACGTTTATTTAACTGTTGGTCCTTGAGAAAAATTATTTAAAAAATCCAGGTTTATTCAACAGTTGGTCCTTGAGAAAAATTCTTTAAAAAATCCAGGTTTATTCAACAGTTGGTCCCTGAGAAAAATTCTTTAAAAAATCCACGTTTATTCAACAGTTGGTCCTTGAGAAAAATTCTTTAAAAAATCCAGGTTTATTCAACAGTTGGTCCTTGAGAAAAATTCTTTAAAAAATCCAGGTTTATTCAACAGTTGGTCCTTGAGAAAAATTCTTTAAAAAATCCAGGTTTATTCAACAGTTGGTCCTTGAGAAAAATTCTTTAAAAAATCCAGGTTTATTCAACAGTTGGTCCTTGAGAAAAATTCTTTAAAAAAACCACGTTTTTTTAACTGTTGGTCCTTGAGAAAAATTCTTTAAAAAATCCACGTTTTTTCAACTGTTGGTCCTTGAGAAAAATTCTTTAAAAAATCCACGTTTATTGTTGGGAAGGTCCTTTAGAAAAATTATTTCAAAAAACCACATTTATTTAACTGTTGGTCCTTGAGAAAAATTATTTCAAGAATCCACGTTTATTTAACTGTTGGTCTTTGAGAAAAATTATTTCAAGAATCCACGTTTATTTAACTGTTGGTCTTTGAGAAAAATTATTTCAAGAATCCACGTTTATTTAACTGTTGGTCTTTGAGAAAAATTATTTAAAAAATCCACGTTTATTTAACTGTTGGTCCTTGAGAAAAATTATTTAAAAAATCCACGTTTATTGTTGAGAAGGTCCTTTAGAAAAATTATTTTAATAAACCACGTTTATTTAAGTGTTGGTCCTTGGGAAAAATTATTTAAAAAATCCACGTTTATTTAACTGTTGGTCCTTGAGAGAAATTATTTATAAAATCCACGTTTATTCAACTGATGGTCCTTGAAAAAAATTATTTAAAAAATTAACGTTTATTTAACTGTTGGTCCTTGAGAAAAATTATTTATAAAATCCACGTTTATTCAACTGATGGTCCTTGAAAAAAATTATTTAAAAAATTAACGTTTATTCAACTATTGGTCCTTGAGAAAAATTATTTATAAAATCCACGTTTATTCAACTGATGGTCCTTGAAAAAAATTATTTAAAAAATTAACGTTTATTTAACAGTTGGTCCTTGAGAAAAATTATTTAAAAAATCCACGTTTATTGTTGGGAAGGTCCTTTAGAAAAATTATTTAAAAAAACCACGTTTATTTAACTGTTGGTCCTTGAGAAAAATTATTTCAAGAATCCACGTTTATTTAACTGTTGGTCCTTGAGAAAAATTATTTAAAAAATCCACGTTTATTTAAATGTTGGTCCTTGAGAGAAATTATTTATAAAATCCACGTTTATTCAACTGATGGTCCTTGAAAAAAATTATTTAAAAAATTAACGTTTATTTAACTATTGGTCCTTGAGAAAAATTCTTTAAAAAATCCAGGTTTATTCAACAGTTGGTCCTTGAGAAAAATTCTTTAAAAAATCCAGGTTTATTCAACAGTTGGTCCTTGAGAAAAATTCTTTAAAAAATCCAGGTTTATTCAACAGTTGGCCCTTGAGAAAAATTCTTTAAAAAATCCACGTTTATTCAACAGTTGGTCCTTGAGAAAAATTATTTTAAAAATCCACGTTTATTCAACAGTTTGTCCTGGAGAAAAATTCTTTAAAAAATCCAGGTTTATTCAACAGTTGGTCCTTGAGAAAAATTCTTTAAAAAATCCAGGTTTATTCAACAGTTGGTCCCTGAGAAAAATTCTTTAAAAAATCCACGTTTATTCAACAGTTGGTCCTTGAGAAAAATTCTTTAAAAAATCCAGGTTTATTCAACAGTTGGTCCTTGAGAAAAATTCTTTAAAAAATCCAGGTTTATTCAACAGTTGGTCCTTGAGAAAAATTCTTTAAAAAATCCAGGTTTATTCAACAGTTGGTCCTTGAGAAAAATTCTTTAAAAAATCCACGTTTATTCAACAGTTGGTCCTTGAGAAAAATTATTTAAAAAATCCACGTTTATTGTTGGGAAGGTCCTTTAGAAAAATTATTTAAAAAAACCACGTTTATTTAACTGTTGGTCCTTGAGAAAAATTATTTCAAGAATCCACGTTTATTTAACTGTTGGTCCTTGAGAAAAATTATTTAAAAAATCCACGTTTATTTAAATGTTGGTCCTTGAGAGAAATTATTTATAAAATCCACGTTTATTCAACTGATGGTCCTTGAAAAAAATTATTTAAAAAATTAACGTTTATTTAACTATTGGTCCTTGAGAAAAATTCTTTAAAAAATCCAGGTTTATTCAACAGTTGGTCCTTGAGAAAAATTCTTTAAAAAATCCAGGTTTATTCAACAGTTGGTCCTTGAGAAAAATTCTTTAAAAAATCCAGGTTTATTCAACAGTTGGTCCTTGAGAAAAATTCTTTAAAAAATCCACGTTTATTCAACAGTTGGTCCTTGAGAAAAATTATTTTAAAAATCCACGTTTATTCAACAGTTTGTCCTGGAGAAAAATTCTTTAAAAAATCCAGGTTTATTCAACAGTTGGTCCTTGAGAAAAATTCTTTAAAAAATCCAGGTTTATTCAACAGTTGGTCCCTGAGAAAAATTCTTTAAAAAATCCACGTTTATTCAACAGTTGGTCCTTGAGAAAAATTCTTTAAAAAATCCACGTTTATTCAACAGTTGGTCCTTGAGAAAAATTCTTTAAAAAATCCAGGTTTATTCAACAGTTGGTCCTTGAGAAAAATTCTTTAAAAAATCCACGTTTATTCAACAGTTGGTCCTTGAGAAAAATTCTTTAAAAAATCCTCGTTTATTCAACAGTTGGTCCTTGAGAAAAATTCTTTAAAAAATCCAGGTTTATTCAACAGTTGGTCCTTGAGAAAAATTCTTTTAAAAATCCACGTTTATTCAACAGTTGGTCCTTGAGAAAAATTCTTTAAAAAATCCAGGTTTATTCAACAGTTGGTCCTTGAGAAAAATTCTTTAAA